CACACACACACACACACACACACACACACACACACACACACACACACTTGGACTTCACACTATCTTGAAAGGATGGATAGTTCACAGCGATCTGAAAAACACTATATTAACACATTATCTGAAGATTCATCACACTGAGTGTCCCAGCTATGTGTTACATGGCAAATAAATGAAATGCATAACGTATAAGCCCTGACATATCATTGTCACGTTCTGCCTAAATATGATCTGCACTCAAACTATGAACTCTCAACGGGCAAACATCATCTCAACACTGACCTCAAGCCAGCTGGTCCACAATCTGTCAAAGCAGCAAGAGGTGAAAAGAAAAATCTGTCGGCACAACACAATCTGAAGCAGAGACGGTCTGTTCAACTTCTTGTTTGCATTTGCGTGTTGCTTTGTGCACACAGACCTTGAAATTTGTAGCGCTAACAAAGCATACAGACTCGCGCACACTTCAAGTGCCACTCAAAGCCACACTGCAGCCAATTGGGTGGAAGGAAAGTATGGGGTTAGATGAAGGTTGCTAAGCAACATGGTGTAACATTGAAATGGTTTGGATGGGAGTGGATGTGGTATATGATCTGTCAAGGGCGCCTCAATCATTGTCTGAGGATGCAGGTAACCAAAACATGCAGACATTCAGACCAATAGCATGATATTGAGCACGTTTACATGCACACCAGTAAGCTGATAACTCACAAATATCAGCTTATTAAAATAACCAGTTTTCCCCATTTACATACATCAGTAACCTGACAACGCAAGTAAGCTGCGTTTACATGACTTCATTAATAAATCAGGTTATTTCCTTATAGTGACATCAAAATATAATCATTTGCGTATCTGACTCCGAGTATTCCATACATTTGTCAGTTGTGATGTTAAATTGAGCTTGCAACATGTCGGGAAACTTACAGCTCATATATTATCCTCTCATGCAGTTATAAACGCAGCATTGTGACTGAACCACTTCTACTTCTGCTGCACGAGATGAGAACACATTTTTATCATTTTCTGAGTCATGAAAAAGTCTGCTTTTGTGATATATTTCCTTCTTTCTTTACTGCAAGACGTTTGCTCGGTCTAGATGCACTTAAATCTGCACTAACGATGCGTTCCTGTCACGTATCACACATGCGCACTTCAGTAAGGCGACAGAAAGCGGGTTATTGCGTTTACATCCAATCAAAAATTGAGGGCTGGACGAATCGTTATATAATGCAGAATGGATGCTTTGTTTTTAAGCAAATAAAATAAACAGCTTAATTTATTAGTGGACACTGGACATGAATATGAACATGTTGTGACGTATTTGTAATGGCAAATGGCTACCAGTTGTAAAATACCACAGCAATATTCTACACTGATTTGCTGGAGATTTCCAGAATCATTATCAGTTACACAGGTGACTTTTAAAGACAACATAACACATGATCTCATAATTAGGCCAAAGTACAAATAACCTCTTGTTAAAATACAGAGGATACTATTAATATGGTAATCCTATAGATGTGAGTGACTCCGGAGCTCCACACTCCACCATGAATGGGAAGCCTGCGATTTTAATCTCACTCAGAGCACTTCCTCTGTCCATGACCAGTGCTTCATTCCACCTGCTGTCAAACACCTGCCCTCGCTCTCTTACCAATTCCTGCCTGTTTTTATCCAATTTGAGCGATATGCAAAACAAAGAACGTGCCTAAGGGCATACAATGACAAATCTAAAGGCTTAATTTTTGGTTAACAAGTGTTTCAATAGCAGTGAAATGAGAAGTGGCAGCAAATGGCACTAGGAGAATTGGATAATAGCATGTTATTAGCAGTCAAATCATGTCTTAATTGGCATAATTGCAGTTCTACAAAAAAAGGCTTTTACTAACTTGACAAACCTATGTAAAAACTTTTATGGCTTTATCAGTGCTTACAGAGGTGTAAAAATACTTAAAAATCCTGAGGTCTCATGGCCTTTACTATAGATCTATATGTAACAACCTGATGATCCTATAAGATCAGCAATATTAAATGAATGAGTTTGTCATTTAAACAGTGTTTCACCACCAATCTTTTGGGCGCCTGTTCAGTTCACCACACTAGACAGTAACATGAGTCTACACAAAGCTTATAAAATATTAAGCAGGCAACGCAAATTATTCATTATCTTTGTAAGGAGACGGCTTCCAAAGACGCTGGCAGGAACTTCTCACAAATGTTGCAGTCTCTCACCTACTTAAGATTTTAATGTTGTTCACTTCCTCTTGGTGAAATACTATATATCTCCTGTGCCAGAGGACGATGATAACATCATGTATGTCTGGCACAGGTGTTGAGCTGAAACATCTGTGAACACAGATACAAATTTTCACAGGGTGTCAGTTTTAAGGTGCAAACTGTTCTTTCTTTTTTGCCAGTGTACAATCCTCTTGTCAGTGCGCTTCAATTGCATTACAACTACATTATGCTATTAAGGAACAGAACAGAACTACTTATAGTTATAACATTTTGCCCTGTGTTAATGATTGTAGAAAAACCTGCTATTTTAAAGCAGGAAAAGTATGTAATTAAGTTTAAAAGTTATGTTAATAAGTTTATACATCTGGCTTTCAATTCAGATAAAGTAATTTAACCAGGTTAACTAATTTTAAAAGAACAAGAACAACCTTCGATTTTAAAATGTAAGAATTATAAATTTAGGAATACTGCTTTTTTTTTTTTAATAATTCTTCCAGGGGATTTAGAATTTTGGTTAATGTATTGCCTGTGTGGTGGACAGTTTTATTACAGTTTTCTCTTATTATGAGAAGTAAAATACATCAGCAAAAGTGGGACAAACAAACAACGTAATTGAAACAAATGTTGCATTAAGAAGAGAAGTCAGCCTCATTATACGTTTACTGTTATTTACTGTTATTTTTTATATGCAAGCTGGAAGGTAAGTTACCAACAATATATATTTTTTTGAAAAACTGCTTGGTTTCTAGCTTGATTGTGCTGGTCATTTGTGGTCTAGAGATGATAGATAAACTACCAGCCTGTGAGACTGAGGTTGATCTGGCAGACCATGATAAAGCTAGCTGGTAGATCACTGGAGCTGGTAAACTATACAAGTTCCACAAACCATCTTAAGATGAAAAAAAAAAGTTCAAGCAGTACCTAACTGTGTCTACAGAGTTTAGAAATTGAATAGAATATTATTTTAGATATTTAAATGTAGGTGGGTTATAGCATCAAAAAAGCTCAGGATGAGAGTGAAAAGCTTTTATCTGTGAACCATTACAAATCTACCAAAAACCGTCCCACTGCATAGTTCATCTACTATACATCTGCCGCATACACCGCAATGCTGTACAACTACAGACAGTTATATCACTAAGATCTGTTTAAATGGTCCCGTTTCATTTTTTCAAGCCATCAACAATACGATGGATTGAACTCGTGAAGTCTCGTTTCTCTGTCTTGTTCCCTCTGCCTATCGAGTGAATCCTATTCTATTCCTTATTTGGATGTCAAGTGCAGCCGAAGTCAGATCTCTTTTCCTGCGGAATACAAATAGCCTAATCTCTATCCCATCTCCTTCATCGGACACATCGTGCTTTCAATAAACACTGCAATTCAGTTTCACCCTTTACATCCGTCAATAGAGCCATAAAATGAGCACTATATAATAATATCACAAATGCCGAGTAACTGAAACACTTAGCCACGCTGCCGCACTTCTGCACTGCACATTTGTCTGCAATGGATGGCTGCTGCGGTTTATTATAATAAACCCTGGGCCAAATAATAGTGCCCCAGACGAAGTAAACACGCAAACTTTCTGTTTTAGTTTGATGTGAAATATCACTGAGGTATTCAAACACTGGGAATATGACTGAGAATGAAGCAGGCGTTGCGTAATACCCACCTTTCTGAGGAAGCAGTCCAGGTTTCCGTATTGATAACGCTGCTGAACGCTGAACAGTGACGGTCACCGCACGCCGCTCGCGCTCGCCCGTGCATGGAGCCTCTCACGCTCTCATCACAATATCACTGAGTGGGAGGAGAGGGGCGTTCCGTAGAGGCGCAGACGTTTAATCAAACTTTAATTTTAATAAAGGTGCATTTTCAGTGCATATTTAAATGATCAACAATGATAATAACAGAAAATACATTTAAATGACACATATTACATTCCGTTAATAACTTCCTAGTAGATATGAAAATACAACAATAAAAATTCTGCTAGTTTACATGTTGGCAATATTCATTTTTAGCGTTTTGGGGTAATAATCAAGTTATTTTAATTTTCATAAGTTTTAGATATTTTAAGTCATCTTGCGCCCTCCTTGGAAGTTTGCTGAGGCCCTCTAGTGGTCCCAGGACCCCTAGTTGAGAATCACTAGTCTACTGTACAGATGAGCTAAAAAATAAAAATGAAAGTAAATATAGATTTTTTTCAAAGTAAAAATTAAAAAGAAAAAATAATCAAAATAAAATCCTTTTAATTATAATGATATTTCTTTATTTTTAATTTATGGTATTTATTTATATTGAATTATAATGGCACATAAAAACATCTGAGAAAATCATTTTTAACATTAACATGAAATTTATTAAGCAAGTAGCAAACATATAGCTACTGGATTGAGTATTAAATAAGTTTGTGAATGGAATTTTGAGCATATTTTCTAAGTCAAAAGATAAAATATGTTTCATGTACATTGGGTAGGCTAAATATTCATTCTTATTAGGTAAATATATGCATTTGTCAAACACCTCCACTATACTATATATAGTGGGGGCCTCTATATAGGCCAGCTTTTACAAACAAACAAAGCCTTGCAAACGTTAGAACGTTTTTAAAAAGGATGACAATATGGAAGAAAAGACTACATCCATTTAATCATGACTTTAATCAGTTTTGTCTTCATGATCTAACAAACATGAACACACCCACAAACAAACACTGTACACACACAAACCACACATCTGCCATTTTCACACTGTGCATTCACACTTTTCATGCTGTTAAATACTCTTTCTCTGCTTCGCTTTGGGTGATATATCATAGCCAGCAATAAAAAGTGAATACATCAATAAATACTTTTAAAATGCTTAAAACTATTCAGCTTTATATCTCATCATCGCATGACCAATCCCAGCCAATACAATCTATATTTCAAATAGAAAAAAAGTTTGGATTACAACAAATGTAGGCAAATTATTGAGTTTGCTATTTGCTACTGATGGGACTCAGAGAGCACAAACCAAATGGCTATATGAAAAGACCCCTCCAACATATTGCATATCTTCAGCTGAAGATTTATAATTTAATAACTATAAACTAAGGTGATTGTTTGCATTGCAAGTTGAGTCTAGATCAAAACCCTTGAGGAACACTGGATACTGAAACCACAGGCAGTATATGAAAAATAAGATAGCTTCAAGACTTCTGAAACTGATGTTTGCATAATATACTCTGTGCTACGTAGATGGCAGTTGGTAAATATAAATGGCAAACCAGTTTCCTTAAGAGGCGCCTTCATACAAAACCTCTGTAAGGTCATTGACTGACAGGGCAGCAAAGCAGCTGTCTTCAGTTTTGGACAAAACTAGTAGCTTTTGTTCCACCTTGAAGAGACTACAGATCTCAAAGGCTCAACAAGAAAAGTGCAGAGTCAAACAGAATGAAAGCCAGCCATGTTGAAGCAGGCCGTCACCATGTGCGTCTCGGTATAGGTGGAGGCGGCATGGGCCTTTGTGCAGGCGTCTGATGAACAGGACGGGATGGAGTTGATACATATCGCTCGTTTAGTATCTCTGGATTCCTAAGAGACAGCAGGTTCAATTTAAAATGAGTAATATACAAACTGAGCTCCAGACAAACCAGGGAAATAGGTTACAACTGTTAAACTTATGTAGCCTAATGAATAAATTTCAATATATGTTCAGGGTTTTTTGGGGGGGGGGGTTTAACCCCAAATATTAAACAGTGAATCCTATTGTTTAAAAGTTTGGGGTCTGTAAGATTTTTTAATGTTTATGAAAAATAATCCTCACCAAGGCTGTATTTATTTGATTAGACATACAGTAAATAGTTATATTGAATATTATTACAATTTAAAATGACTGTTTTCTTTTTGAAAATATTTGTAAATGTAATTTATTCCTATGGTGGCAAAGCTGAATTTTCAGCAGACACATCCTTCAGAAATAATTTCTTAATATTATAATTTTGAAAACAGTTGCTCTGTGATACATTTCTTTCAGGAATTAATAGAAAGCTCAAAAGAACACAATTTAATTGTATTCTTTTCTTTTCTTTTTCTATATATTATTCTATATATATTATTTATTTTTTATTAGCTCATCTTTATACAGTAGTTTATGTTAGTTGTATGTTTATCATGTTTCATGTTGTATGTTTTATTTCAACCTTAGGTATTCTGTTTTGTTTTTTACAAAGAAATTTAACATTAAAGTTTGAAAATCTCCCTTCGACTTGCACTGATAAAATGTTTAGCATTCAAAATGTAGCATCATCCTAACATTTGCATACTGAATTGTGATCGGTTTTGTCTTCTTTGCATATATGTATCCATTTATAGCCACCTTAAAAGGTACAGTTCTAAACTCGGGTTGGATGTGCAAAGATTGCACACCTTTTTAAAATTTCTCTAAATTGATCATAGCTCCCATAAGCTAGGCCAGATTTAGCAGTGGATATGTGGCACCCACATCAGACTGCGGATGTTCATCACCCCCTCTCCCTGACACGACACCAATCCTCTGATGTTTGTGTTTGTGTATATTAGCTGGTGAAGATGTAGCACATTCTAAACCCACACTCCGTCTTTATGAGATTTAAAGGTTGATGCTTCTACACATGATCAAGTCACTGATGGAAAGTTAAGCTTCACAAACTCTGGCGTTGTGGTTTAAAGAGTTCAGCAATTGATGCTGTGGTTTGTCACATGGGGAGGTGTAGAGTTTCATACACGAAGCACCTTCGCTTCACCTACAAACTTTTATCCAGTCATCTGGTACATTCTTACAGTGAAACTTTTCGAAAATAAAACTAGTCTAAGCCACAACTCTCTGTGTACATGTTCACTCTGTACAACTTCAAATCTAAAGACTATAATTCTCAGCTGAATTTATTTTTACTTACAGTTTGAAATATACTTCAGAATAAAGCTATGACAGAAAACATGTACCTCTCTATTACCCGTGGTGGGACCCTGGGTGGAGGGAGTACCGGTGGAGTATCCACTACGGGCCGGAGAGGCCGCGGAGGAAGTGGAATATCCGGAGGCTCCTTAAACCATTAAAGAAAAGACATATGATATGATGAATTTCTAATACAACAACCTAAGCTAAATACTTTGTGCCAGTATAATTTAGTATAGCAATAATCTATTAATGTGCAATGTATTATAGTTTAGTATAGTTTATGTATTAAAAGGCTGCATTTATTTGATAAAAAATACAATAATATTATAAAAAATATTACAATAAAAAAAAACAGTTTTCTGTTTGAATATATTTTAAAATATAACGAATTCCTGTGATGGCAAAGCTGAATTTTCAGCATCATTATTCAAGTCCTCAGTGTCACTTGATCCTTCAGAAGTCATTTCCAATATGCTGATTTGCTGCTCAAGAAACATTTCTTAAAGGGTTAGTTCACCCAAAAAATTACTCACCCTCATGTTGTTCCAAACCTGTAAGACCTTCGTTTATCTTCAGAACACAAATTAAGGTATTTTTGAAGGAATCTGAGAGCTCTCTGACCCTGCATAGACAGCAAGGGTCCTTACACGATCAACGTCCAGAAACATAGCAAGGAGATCGGTAAAATAATCCATGTGATATCAGGGGTTCAACCGTCATTTTACGAAGCTACAAAAATACTTTTCGTGCGCAAAAGAAAAGAAAAAAAACGACTTTTAAAGGGGTCATATGATGCGATTTAAATTTTTCCTTTCTCTTTGGAGTGTTACAA